ATATTTAGCTTCTTCAAACACTCGATTCCTACCAAAAAAACAGGGAGCATTTCTCTCTTTTTCAAAATGACAGATATCAATTTCTCCTTTGCAGATAACTTTAGTAAGTTCTGAAAGAGTAAAATCCAAATTCCTAAGCTTGAAATCCAAGGTTTTCCATAGCCTTGCCTCAACCTACCTTCCTGGACTTCCCATTTACTGTCATTGCCTCTCACGCATCCTGTATCTCAGTGAAGCCATTCCCAACTCCCAGAAACCACCTGTGCCTTCTGGCCTCCATGCCAGTGCTGATGGGGAAATTCCTCCTTCCCACATGAACTTCACCTCTCTCTTTCCTCTACTCCTCCATCCATCTTTATGGTGGAACTTACCCATGTTTCAAGTTCCGCCGTCCCTTCCAGTCCACAATCAGGCAAATGTGCATTTATTTCGTCACCTCCCACCATGAGACGACATGTTCCGGAATGTGTGTAGGGGACAGCGTGGGGGAACCAAACAGAAAACTGCATGCCAGTCCTTTTCTCCATAAGCATCCTCCCTCAGAGAGAAGTGATATCTCCCTTCTCTGGGCTCCTGCTAGGAGCTTTCTATCTTGATTTAGGGTTATTTACCCATACTTCTCATCTCCTCCTCAAAGCATAAGCTCTTAGAGGGCAGGTTTATGATGTGCTTATCTTGGAAAATCTATTGTGTTTTATACATAATCCCTTAATTTATGGTCATAAGAGGCAACATGGGATAGTCAGAGGTATTGGGACTCTAGGACAAGAAAGCCTGATTTAGGGCTAGGCACAGTGGCTCACACCTGTAATCCCAGCACTTTGGGAGGCCGATGCGGGAGGATTGCTTGAGGACAAAAGTTTGAGACCAGCCTGGGCAATATAGTGAGAACCCCATCTCTACAAAAAATACAAGAAAATGAAAGAAAGAAAAATTAGCTGGGTGTAGTGGCACATGCCTACAGTCCCAACTACTCAGAAGGCTGAGGCAGGAGGATCACTTGAGTCTTGGGGTTTGAGGTTGCCGTGAGCTATGATGATACCACTGCACTCTAACCCAGGCAATGGAGACTTTGTCTCAAAAAAAAAAAAAAGAAGAAGAAGAAAAAGAAGAAAGAAAAGAAAACCTGACTTAAATCACCTTTAATCAAACCACTAAAGCCTCAGTACTCATTTTTGCAAAATTGTGCACACTACCATTCACCTCTCTTAGATGTAGTAAGCATCAAATTAAATAACATATGGGAATGCACCTTTAAAATTATCAAATTTTTTTTATAATTATTCAGTCAGTGCTAATAGAACATGAGTCTTTTGTAACTCCTCAGAGAAAGCAGCATCATACAACCCAAATGTGTTACTTTAGCAATCATGACTGCTTGTCAATGTCTCTACAAATAAGTTATGCCAAGTGACGGTATTACTGTGTTTGAAATATTCTAGTTGTGACAACATGAGTTCATATGTTCTTCTTGTTGGAGGAACTTACGGCTTTATAAACAACTTAAAAATCCCAGAAGGTTGTCTTCATTATATCCCTATGAAATGTTAAGAATCCGTTAAAACAACAGTGGTGAACCTGCTAGCCCACCCAACTAGGGATATGTTTCCATTTTTTAAAAAGGCAGGGGCTGGGGGAACAGGGAGGTAGAGTTCAGACTGCTGCCAAAAAAGTCATTATAATTAGAAATCTGCTTTATAGGAAACACCATTTGATATAAATATCCTGTTACATCATACCAATATTGCCACTGATAAAAATGAATATGCAAGAATAGAGACTACATGCTTAATAGTCATGGGAAAAGTACCTGCTGCTTCTCACGTCCATATGTCCCAGACTCACATCACCACAGATCAGAAGATCAACACAGAAGCAGCACGAATGAAGAAGCCTGCTGCAGAACGACCCCGCATATACCTATTAGTGCCTGCACCGTATGGACGAGCTGAGCTGGGCCCGGATGGGATGCAGAGCCAGAACATGCCCAGAGGCCATAATGAAGCCAGGATTCGAACCCAGGTCTGCTGAACTCTCAGATGCTCTCTCTCTCTGTTATACTGTCTGGCCTTCCCATAAGACCCAACTCCATGAAGTCCTTCACCTTGTCGCTCTTATACATCATGGTCAGACTCCAGGGAGGTGAGTAAACAGTTGACATAAGGAGACCTAGGTTCTAGTCGGAGCTAACTCACTTGCTGTGTAACTAAGGCAAGCTCACTTAACCCTCTCTACCTAAATTTCCTTATTAAAAAAATGGTGACAATGATATCTGTTCTACTTCCTTCAAAAAAAACCTATAAATCACAGTGTTCAAAATTATTTCTGTTGCTCTGATTATCAAAATGCATTATTTAATTATGGTGCCTCAACTAGGAAGTCCGTATGATTTTCCTTGTATTATTTTGACTCCTTGGAGCAGGGGTGGGCAAACTATGGCTCTCGAGCCAAGTTTAGCCCAGTGACTGTTTCTGTAACACAGCCACGCCTATTCCTGCACATATTGCCTCTCGCTGCTGTCACGCTACAACAGCAGAGTTAAGCAGTTGCAACGGAGACCATATGGCCTAAAAAGCCTAAAACATATACTATCTGGACCTTTACAGAAAAAGTTTGCCAGCCCCTACCTTTCAGTGCCTTTAAATATCAGAGGACAAAGAGAGTAGTTAACAAGTGCTGATAAATTTTGAATTTTCTTCAAACTGAACTATTTTCCATATGTATATCTTATTTTTCAAAAGATTTAATATATTATAAACAGAAAAAATATTAGAAAACCACTTTTGATAAATAATAACATTAAACCAGTAAAACCTGAAAAAGATATATGCACAAAAATGAATTTTAAAAACTTTCTCCATCTTTGAAAGATCACAATCTATAAGTTCTACAAAATTATCATTCTTCAATAAAGAAAAATCATAAAACTTGTCCCTCACACTATCCAATATTTGAACTAAAATGTAAATAGGAGAGGGAAACAGCTCAGAATATTAATGAAATTATTTCCCACGATTTCCAATGTGAAACTGTTTATTATCAGCCCCTCCTCACCACCCCCTATCTTTTTTTTTTTTAATTAAAGTTCTCTGCCAATCCTTTCATGGAGAGTTGAGTTCTGTTTTTGAAATGCTTTTGTAAATAATTTTGCTCCATTTCGTATTTTGAACAGGCTATGTATATTCTGTTCCTAAACATCTGGTTAACTGCCAGAAAGGAAAGTGTGCAGCGTGTTTTAACAAGTAGACTTCCTCTGTTTCTCAAAGACTTCAAATATTTAGTTTCAAAATGAATACACTGTAAGCCAAAAAATTACCACCCATTCAATTATTCTGGCATTGCTACTGTAAAGATTTACCACGAACGCAAGGAGGAGCAGACACTGTTGACGATGATGGAAGAAAGGAAGCAGTGAGTGAGGAAAGCAACCAAAAAGAGGAAACTGGGGAAAAGCCATTATATCCATAATAACCTATTGGGAATTGCCTTTTCCCTTCCGCTCTTCGTCTCCAGCCCTCCAAAAAAGACGAAAAATAATATTACTTACTGCTGATCGTAAGGTGTAGGATTTTAGAGATGGACTAAATTTTAGAGGTCACAAAATACAATCCCATTTATTTTATGAATGAGAAAAACTGAGGTCCAGAAATATTAAGTGGCATGCCCTGTGGATTAGCTAGTTAGTAGCACGACCGGGACCAGAATCCAGTTTCCTGATCGTCAGTTCAACACACTTCCCATTAGACTCGGCTCCCTGCCCTGCTAAGCATAATGTGCCATTTGGCACCTTACGGCTAAATTCTTTTAAAAATATGCCCAAGTACCCCATCATAGCCAGAAAATTTACAATGCCCTTTTAAATCGTATTTATGGGCACTTGTTTTTTCCAAGTACAGACGATCAAAAATACTGCTTGGACCTCATAAGGATTAGGAGTCACAATAAAGCAGCAGAATAATCAAAGAGCTAATAAGGACTTCAAGCTGTCCCTTGTATTTTGTCTTGATGGAAATCAGTTGAAATAGACACCCCTTTTTCCTACCCTCCCCCAGACACACACTCCCAAGACTAAACAGCAATATTCCATAAAAAGACCAGATCTAGCCAGTGTTATTATCTGTCTGACATTTGGGTTATTCTTGTGAGTAACTCATAAAGTAACGTGGGTGTCTGCGATTATTTGAGTACACATGGCAAACCATAATTGGTCAAAAAATAATAAAAGACATTTTTCTGTGACAAAAATACCGTATTGCATGACAACATGACAGCATGACGGCACTCAGTGGACTGCAATACTTTCTTCTCCATTTATAAAAAAGTAAAAAACAAAAATTTAAAAAGAAACAAAAAGATTTTTTTTTGCAGTAACTACTGGTTCATATTTAAAGTTTTTGACTGCTAACAGTAATCTGCTAGTATATCTTCCCCCAAATCCATGTTATATATCAATTTATAATTTAGTCTTGTGATACAGGGCAGAAACGTGGCAAAAGATGCAAGTCTGTATTTATTTCTACAAACAGGTTTTTGACAATTTTTAGAGGTTTTGTAGAGTCTGGCTATTTTTGAAGTCACAATTTAAATTTCATCACCACCTTCCAACAGTTTGTGACATGAGTCAAATCTAACACAAATTCTCCTTATCACTGGGCCGATAAAATGTGCAGCTGATCAGATCAGTGCAAATTATACCTTCGGGTTTTAATCTAAAACCTATTCTCTTCTGTTCTACTATATATATTCCCATCACCACAGGGCTGCATAAACGCTAAGCAATGAGGGAAAATATTCCAGTTGACATTTCTCTAGGAAATCAAAATCAGGTTTACAGTTATTCTGAAAGTAATTTAAAAGCTCTCAAAGAAAGAAGCATATTCGCACTCCTAGACAGAAACCCATTGAAGCAGAGAGCAGTGTGCGTGGAGGGGGCGTCTAAATGCTACAATCTCATAAAACTCTCTTCAGTAAGGACAGTCAGGGACCGTGGAGGAACTCACCCACTCGGAAGTTCGTGGCCGTCAGGGTGTCGGCGGCATGACCATTCTCACTAATGAGAGTGGTGGTGTTCCCCTTCTCACAGCTGTTCTGACAGCTGCCCTTGGTGCAGGTCACTCTACAGATGCTCGGAGTAAAGACCACCTTGATGCGGCCAGTGTGGTTACTCACTAGGAGTGGAGGCAGGGAGAAAAAGAACAACAAACACATCAGCTTAGTATCCATGAACTTGCCTTGAAAGGTTTAAGAAAAAAAAAAAAGAAGAAAAGAAAAAAGAAAAGAAAGGCACGAGAGGGGGAAAGAGAGAGCCCACAACCCGACAGGTTTAAGGAAAGAGGGAAGCCTTTAGTGCTCGCTGCTCTGTATCCAGTGGTGTCTCTGAAACAGGAGTAGGAAGCTTAGCAAACAGAACTCTGGGATGCGCTCCAAAACCACATTTGAAGTCGAGTCACTGGAGTGGGATTACTAACCACAATGCTGCACTTTATTCACGGGCAGACAAAGAGCAATACCGAGGGCACGACAGATTAAAGAGCCAACCCTGACAGGCAGATGTAATGCAAAGAGGTTGGCCGTGCACCTAGTGGTGAATAAACTCTTGTGTCCTCAACTTGCATACTTTCCCTGTTTCTCCACTTATTAAGTCACTATTTGCAGCCCGACCCCTGGAAATGTTTTAGGCATGCAGCATGTCTGAAAACATCTGTCTCAAATCTCCTGGCACTCTCCGCTGAAGTGATCAAATCCTGTGACGCAGCTACGGGAGCCCATTTCTTTTTCACAACTCTGGGGCACTATTTCTCCATATGAATTGATGCAACATATTATTTTGTTTTACTGTGAACGGGGCCCATCTAAGAAAAAGGCAGGCCGGGTCACAGGGGAAAAGGGGTGCCTCCCTTGAAATACCATCCTTGAGCTCCGGCTGTTGCTATTCATAGACCACCTGGAACAGGTATTTCTTTCATTCACGTGGCCCTCTCTTAAAAACCAAATGCTATAATATAATCTGACCACACAGCCGAAACAGCAGAGTAGTATCACAAAATGGGAACTAGACTAACAGCAGATTCTGGCTTGTAATCCTGGCTCAATCACAGTATGACTTTGGACATGTCATTTCAACTTTTCTCCAAAATGTGAGAGAACTAGAGCTGACATTGTCTAGCCAGTTTTAACTTTCAGTGTCTACATAAAGGTCAGCGAGCTATGGCCCAGGGGCCAAACCCAGCCCTTTGCCTGTTTCTGTAAATAAAGTTTTACTCATTCATATCTGTATTGTCTATGGCTGCTTTTATGCTATGATGGTGGAGTTGCACAGAGACCGTATGGCCTCACCCAGACCTGCCCTTCACTGCCATTCTAAACTCTCTGGCAAATTGTGATACAGAGGCCAGGCGCCGTGGCTCATGCCTGTGATCCTAGCACTCCAGGAGGCCGGGGCAGGAGGATTGCTTGAGCTCAGGAGTTCAAGACCAGCCTGAGCAAGAGTGAGACCCCATCTCTACTAAAATTAGAAAAATAAGCCAGGTGTGGTGGTGTGCACCTGTAGTCCCAGCTACGCATGAGCCTGAGGGAGGAGGAGTGCCTGAGCCCAGGAGTTTGAGGCTGCAGTGAGCTACAGTAACACCACTGCACTCTAGCTGGGGTGACACAGTGAGACTCCGTCTCCCAAAAACGAAAAAAATTGTGATGGAGAAACCCTTTTTGGCTTCTACATCTGTGATATGACTCCAGCCAGGTCCTTCCTCTTTCCAGGAGGCTAGGCAGAAAGCAAAGATGGTAGCCGTAGCTGGAAGACAGATGGGTCATCTAGGAGGCTTTAAGGCTGGTAAGAAGCAGCGACCTTCTGCTGCCTGCACATAACTAAAAGGGGAGACTGGCTGTGGGTCAGCCTGTCTGCTGCCTTCTCTGCCCACCAGATAAGCTTCTCCCCTTTTATACTGCTTTGGTTTGCCCAGTATTATACTTTCAGAAAATCATCCAAGATGCCTGTATAGATCAAATCAAATTGTGGTCAAAATCTGAGCTTGGAAACAAAGAAGTCATTAGGATTTCAAGGTTGGAATGGGACCTCAGAAGTTTTCTGACACAACCATCTCTTATCCATTGCTTGAATTCCATGCGTCAAGTGGTCACCTTGACTTTATTTGAACATCTCTGATGACAGGGAGCTCATTACCCACAAAGCACATCCTGGGTATGGCAGTCCCTAGAAAGTGCTATTCTTTCTTGAGCTGAAATACAGTCTCACGGTCACTTGCACTCATTCATCCTAACTCAGTTCACCTTGTCATCTTCCACATGACAGCCCTTCAAATACTGAACGATAACTGCCACAAAATCAAAGAAAGCTAAAATTAGAAGGACTTGAAGTCATCAGCTGGGCTGGCCCTCTCACTTAACAGAAGAAAAATGATTCCTCAGGAGGATGAAGCCCTCCATTCTTTTCGAATGTTTTCCCAAGGAAGTTTCTCCTTCGCCAGTGATCCTAACACTGGAGGATCGAAACATGCGGTCTGAGGTGGGGCGATATCCTAGTGGCTAATCGGTCCTCCCGGCACCTCACAAAATGGCACCTGATAGGAAGCTATTGATGCTTTATATCAGTGGCTGGCAAACTTTTTTTCTACAAAGGGCTAAATAGTAAATAATTTAAGATTGCAGGCCAAAAGAACTCTGTTGCAACTATTCAATTCAGCTATTGAACTATTCAATTCTCAGCTGCAGTAGCTGAGAAGCAGCCTGTAAAACACAATATGTAAATGAATGGGTGTGGCCATGTTCCAGTTTATTTAAAGAATCAGAGTTTGCTGATCACTGCTTTAAATGCTTATATGACATTCCAAAATTATCTAGGAGTTTACCTCAGAAATTAAAAAAAAACAACAACAACAACATGGAATGGTGATTCCATAATCAGACAAAAATCCACCTATTTGGTTTGTTTTTTTACAGTAGCACAAACAAATCAGCTTATACCCTAAATTGTCAGAGTATGCTTATAAATATCTTGAGGATACTTTGTGTGTGCAAGTGTGTGAAGCCCAAGAAAAAAAGAGACAACATCTTCTCACTTCAAAAGAATATAAACTTCTATTTTTTCTGGCTCCTGGTACAATAATGAAATTAGAAACGGTGTGCCAACTATTTTGTCTTCTCTGGCATTAACTTGTAGCACCAGCAGCTGCCATGCAGATGCTCATACAGTCACCTAAATTATGCTCACTTAGGCAAACTGAGACATCCAAAGAAAGCAAGCACTTAATCATCATTCCCATTTCACCTCCCAGCTACAGTAGTCACTTTATAGGCACTGGAGATTCTCAGAGCCTATTGTTTTTAAAAACTTCTTATATTTCTTTGCCAAAAAAATTTTTTTTGGCCTGGAATCATCTGGATTTTCAAAAGGCAGAGACAGTTTCATATGACTTAATTCTGATTTTTACAATGTTCACGTCTTTTTGGAAGCAGAAGATACATTTTATTTCACATAAAAATAAAAATGCGTGTGTTTTACAAGCATTCGGCTATAAAGTAATCCAATTCTAAAACAGACACTTGTATTCCGGGACCTTTCCTCTCTTCAGGAAGCATTTGTTTCTTCATTACTATTAGCTTTAGGTTTCCATGTCAATCTTCTCAAAATTGGTAGCAAAAACTCACAACTGCTTTTGACATTAAACTGTCCTTCAGATCTCTAATCAGTTTCTCCCTAAATATTGAATGGATTAGAAAATATAGTCTCCCATCCCTACTTTTTAAAAGTCATTCCCACATACCTAGGGTATAAAGAGTTTATGTTTTAAAATACACAAAACAAAGGTCCACTCTCTGCTCTGAGCTTCAAATTCCTCATATGATAAACTGAAGACAATACCACTCACCTTTCAAGAGTTTGGTAGGAATTCACTAACTGTGGACTTGAACTCTCCTCCATAGGCCATTTGGTATATCAGAGGCATCTTGCCTGAATGCCTTGAATAAGCTAACACTGAGGGACCCCTGGGCCTTGCATAGAGTAGGTACCCAACAAATGTGGGATAAATGAAGTGGCCTGAAGTTGTCCACGGAGCAAGGATGACTGTTGAACCCCACAGAGATCCAGGGCTCACAGGATGCTGGAGGCCATTCTGGTCTAAGGCCCTGCTTCACCAGCACGGAGACAAGCTCAGGACTAACCAGTGGCAGAAGACCACCCCCAGCGAGCAGCACCTACTGGCTCATTAGGAATTAACCAGGAATTACAAATCTGAGAAGCGAAAGTTAGGCCAGTCAGGAGTTAACAGGGAAACTGTTGGCACAGCTTTTGTGCTTGGTCCCTCTGAGGAAAAAAGTGTAATTTTTAGATCCTGTAGGTAAATCAGCCCCAGAAATCTTAAGCAAGCACTTTAAAACCATGAGTTTTAGAGGCCTTGGCTAGAGGCGCAGATTGCCTGGAGCCATGGAGCACCTCCACTGGGCCTCCTCGTGGGTCAGTCAAGGCACTCAAGAGGCAACATCCTGTCTGCAGCTTCTGCCAGGCCCTGTGCAAATTCATACCTCCAAGAACAGGCAACTGGCGCATGGCTTAAAACAAACCACAGATATTCAGAGTGAATGGCAAATGGGATGGAAGTGAAGCCGACGCCCCTCCCCCCCAAGATAAAAAGCTTTCATTTCTGCTTCACAATCATGAACGATAGGGGAAAAATACAAAAATGCGAAAATTGTTCTTGACAAATGGGCTTCGGTCTACAGAAGGGCACAGTTGCCATCTTTCAGTCACTGGAGTAGGATGTGACCAAAAGCAAAGACAGCCAAAGAAATAAATATAACAAGTTCAAGACTCACATCAGATGTCACGAGCAAATACCGTCTCCTCAGCATTCATCCAGAATGCTGTGACAGCATATTAGCATCCGTCCAACTTAAACAACGGGGACCAACTTGCACAGGCAATATCCTCTGGGAAGAAACAACCTCTCTGTGGCTCAAAGCCGCCACCCTGTTTAAAGAGACCTACAGGCTGATTCAATACACAGGCCACGTGTACTCTCTTCTGGGTGTGAGAGAAACTGAGCTAATAGCAGTCCATCGCCTGCCCGAAGGCCAAGAATTCTTTCAAGGACAAATCATAAAAGCATTAAATAATGCTTAGAACAACGGGACTTTATTGTTCAGCTCCCCA